TTATTTGTGTAATATCTGCTTTGATATATATATATGAATAGTTAAAATGAAACATGTACATGGTTTATAGGCCGTTATATAAGGTAAGAGTGATAATTGATTATTTGTACTTATTTCTTAAATTGCATTTAAAAAAGATAAAAAAAAATATAAAAATCGTACAATGTAGAAAATTAACGTAGGTCATGTACGGGTTCTTGGTTTGCGGATGGATACATGTATTTGGTGCTTTTGCACTAACAGAAGAATCATCAAATCTTCTCATTTAAAAAAATGTAATTGTTTACTAGTCTGGATGCCAAATGTGTGACATTGTTTACATTAGCGACACCGTAAATCGGTTGCCATATTTTCGTAACAAAAACTATATATTCATGTTTTGTAATGATTCCGAGAGAGATCTTTTACTGTTTGATAACCTACAGAATGTAAAACTTTATGATTTTTTTTTCGTGTTCAAATTATTCAATGGCTTCGTCTTTAAACAGTTATGACATGTTCATTATAGTTTTTATGATTTAATGCATAAACTTGTCAAATATACAAATGTAAAATTTATGTTGTTCGGTAATAATTTTGAGAATGTTCTCAAGAGCTTTTTTACATATCATTTTCTGTAGTCGTAAATTTTCTAACATTTAAATGAAAATTAGAAGAATGATTATTATGGTTTAGCTTGATAAGTAAAGTTAAGCTCCTCTTTTTTAATATCAAAATGACTTACAAATGTTTAAAGCACTCTGTACTTATGCGAAAACTTATTTGCGTTCATGTGTTTTGGTCATAATGCAATGTTACACAAGACAATTGAATTTAATGACAGACTGAATGAATTTGAAATGATTTTCGAATTATCAATTACATTTGAGACATTTTATGCGTTAGGAATCAATACTTCCATGCACAATGTGTGTTTATATGTCTTCTTTGGAAAAAGAGCATTTTGTGAGTTGTATTGCATTGAAAATGCTTGAAAGCGATTGGTTGCACAAATGTTAATCTCAATGATGATTATTAAAAAAACCATACTTAAATATGTCTTAAATAAATATTTTGTAATCTGACCTATATAACAAACTTGGTATTAATGGTTTCAATTTCTTGTATTTGATATTGATCAGGTCTTCTTTTGAAGCCTTTTTAAGATCTTTTAAATGATTATATAATTGTGAAACACCTTATTGTTGTGTCATATTCATTGTAAAGAACGCCATGATAATATTGTAACAATCAAAGTATCAGAATAAAGTTATATTTAGACATTATGAAATACATTTATCTCGAAAAAGGATGCGTTTCCCTTACAACTTTTTAATTCACGTTTTATAATTCAAAAACTGTTCTAATGTAATACAATTATAATTTTCTCATTCAAACAAATAATACATTAAATACTCTTTTGCTTCCAATTGTGTCTAGAACAATGTTAGAGAATTATAACAGTCAGCAAATGTGCAATATAAGCATCCATCTACAAAGAAAAATAATCAAAATATATCATGACATGACCATGCATAAATCCAGAAATATCTAGAAAAAAAGTGTATGTAAAAATAATAAAATTAACTCGCTTTGAAAGATTATGCCGCACAATTCCAAGACAATCATCAACATAAAAGGCAAACTGATCAGTCGTTATTTGTTCAAAGAAATAAAGGCACCGTAACTTTAAGTCTTATTTCATTGCGTTATACACATGTGTAGATATTTTATATCTTTCACTCATGTAAACAGTAATAAAGTAGCTGCATTTATTGTTTTAATGGAAAGTGGTGCTTTAAAACGCTGAAATTGTTTTCAAAGAACTAGATGCAAATATTTGAGAATACTGCGTTTATGATTTTAAAGAACATTTCGCCTTGTCACAGGTCAACCGAAAACGGTGTACAAGAATTTATTTTGTTACGTACATACATTCGTAGTCGTATTTTGAATAGGTCAAAAACATAAACCGAGTATGTAAATAATTAACTACATGTAATAAGTCATGTATTCAATTAAAACTCATTAAAATGAAGTAAAGACCATCAATTTAGCTACATTTTGTCTTGAACAATAAATATTGCTTTTGACGAGAATGGGTTGAGCATATAAGATGCAACTCCTTTCATGTCCCTTAGCACTAATTTAAGCGGTATTTAACTCTTAGACTGAGAAATATTTATTATAAACCGTTGTGACCCGTATTTTGCTACAAAATATAATTTAAGCTATATTTGTCTATTTTATTGTTCCCTTAAAATATTGTAAAACTCTTGTCTTTATACAAATAAGTGTTTCAAATATTTCTTTTTGATTTTGTTAGAATATACATCATTGGTTAAAATCATTTTAGATCAACGAAAATGGAGGAAATGTATTGAATTATGTTATTCACCTCCAAGTTTAAAACGCATTAAAGAACCAATTAACCAACTATTATGTATGTTTAGTGGTGTCGCACATTAAACAAAGTAAAACACATTTGTGTTGGTAAAAATGTTTTTAAAAACTTTTTGTTTCGTTGCAAATGATAAAACATATTTTTATCTTTTTAAGAAGTAATATGTACATGAAAGTCATATTTTATAATGTCGTTAACGTGTACTATTTAATAAATACTAAATGAAAGCTTAATCTAATCATGTGACCAATTTGTTTTATGTGAGAAAAAAACGCTTAATGTTTTATGTTCTCTAAAGATTGTTGAATAGTTGATTAAATGTAAAAATCATAGCAAGACTTTCAATTCAGTTGTTGTACATTAAATAGCAATATTTCTAATAACACGTTTTCATGATTCATATGGCACATTTAAAACTTCTATCAAACTGCTGAAAACGCATTTAAATACAGATGATTTTTGCATTCCGGACTCGTTCATTAAAATACAGTAGTAAGTGAATATAAAAAAATATTAACAAAGATGACATAGGCAGGCTACTTTCACAGAACGCAACCCAAGACACAACCTAAAACCATTGCAAAAACCAAATACTGGATTAAAAACAAATGTACGTACTAATCACTTACAAACGTTAATTACTGTTGAGTTTTGTTAAAGTAAGTGCGTTCCAAATTTTGATTATACTACATGTATATATTTAAATCATTTAGATACTTAAATTCTGTAAACTTTCAACATAATATTTAACTGTAAAATTGATAGAGATCAAAATTATTTTTGCTTTCTTTTCTTTTGTATTCAAGTTTTCGGTCGACCTTTGGCGCATTCGTGAATTATAATTGTATGACACAAACGAAGTACGCCAATACAATGAATTCAGTGAACTGCATCAATATCTGTCAAGTATGAATAATAATGAAATTAATAGAATTGAAAATTAATCACTTTTAGAATCATTGTTAAGATTATGATAAACAATAGATCTAATTCACTGTACAAACAATACATATCTTTCTTACAATCGTGAGAAGTAACAAATGACGTATAAACACTGATGATGTTAAAGATATATTATGCTCAAATTTGATATTTGCAAATATTAATAATTGCTACACTGTCTCTTCGTAGATATGAAGACAACATGTTTTGACTTCACACAAATAAGATATGTAACAACGATTTGAACATATAGTGTCATTACAAAAACTGGCAGTTTTTTAAGACATGACCAATTTTACTCGACATGTTATAGGGAATGCAGCTCCCAATACATAGTTTTTACATTATTTTATTCAAATAAGACATATTAAGTAAAAATTTCATAATAGAATTATTAAACTCAAAGATGAGCATAGTATATCTTTAAGAGCAAGAACGACAGGCTGTCTTTTGACAGCAGTGGACAATGTTAACAAGATATAAAGAATATTGCAAGATTGCCTTTTTTTCTTTTTATTATCTTCTATATTTTTTTTATTCTATCTATTAAATAACCATTAATGCGCTATTATTTCATTATGAACTAATTATATACACTAAATAAATGTGCTTTTGGCTAATAATACAGTCCATTGTGAATTCTAAAGCAACTGTGTGTCTTTTAAAAAGACTATAAAACTTAAAATTATTGCTCGTGTGCCATACATCTTTGGCAACATTTGAATTTTTCCTTTATAATATTAGAAAATTTAAATTTGATGACAAATTGATAACGGCTTTAGTATCACCCGAATGATCAATTAGTTTGGAGACATGGCCGTGTTTAAAATCAATACCGTGTTAAAAATCAATACCGCACTGCACAATATGCCATTTTGTAAAGCGTGTAATGTCAGTTATCTCTTAAAGGCAATAAAAATGATTTATAGAAATGTATTGCATCAATAAAATCTAATAGAAGATTTTAGAATTTAAGACGAAGGAAAATACATAATGTTACAAATTATCAATGCTTTTATTTCAATACTTAGACTTTTGCTGATTGTTAAGGATTCGATCATATAGGATTTTGTTGCGTATGTTTATATATTTATATCAAGTTTCGTAACAAAACAAGGTCATGACATCACTATGTCTCCTTAATAGGTATTATTATTATAATTAAGTATGCAACAAATGTCATTTCATTTGAACACATAATTGTTTACATTCACAAGTAAAATTCTTCGAAAAGCTATATTTATATCATTATAATTATTTACGTTACAGTGTTATCACGCACCATTTGTGTTTTAAACAATTGTATGTTAGTTGTGACAACAGTTTTACATTTATAACGAGCATTTACATTAATGTTTTGCATTTTGTATAACTATTCCAATTATTACAAATGTTACAGAACATTTCTAAAATCGGTCAGAATCAGTGTAAGCAGTGTTACTCCTACTGCTAACATTTGCCATAAATATATGATTCAGAACACCTTTAGGTATTATCTTAATCTGCTAAATTGTGTTAAAGACGGGTGTGTCTTAGTTGTTACAATAGGGCTACATTTGAATAAGGCAACCCTTTGTAACAATACGCAAACAGTGGCTGATACTTGTAACAATAATTTAAAACTCTCATTTAAACATTACTGTGTTGCTGCTATCATAGTAGCCTTTACTTGAGCCGCGCCAAGCATAAACAGCCGTTATCGTATAATTAATTATTCTGCGAAATATGACGTCAAAATTAGTGATGACGTAGAAAGATGGCGGCGCCCGTATTTTTACATGACAGATTGTAAACACAACAAATATGGACACTTTCGAGGTAATGTTTTAGTTTAATCTTGTTTTTACATATAGGACACATTTATAAAGTGTTTAGGAATAAAAATCTCCATAATACAACTTGTTTTCGTTCGGATAATGAAAGAAAGTAACATTCATTTTTCATGAATTTTCAACATGTGTCATCAAGCACATGATCGTTAAAAGTGGCGCTTTAAGTTATTTAAATTAATTTAAACTAAATTGCCAACGGCTACAGGTTATAATCCCGTAGGCGTACAGATAATCTGCAAACATACCGACAAGTATGAGCCATTCCCGACATCCCGTTGAAAAAATTATTTTTAAGATGGCTTTAAACTTAAAAGAAAAAGATAGATCCGTAACAGCATATTTTATTGTGTTTATTAGATTAAAACTGTTGTAATTTTATAGCTCCCATCACCTCACACCCCGTCCCTTAATGAATAAAACTTTAAAATTAAGCGGGCAAGAACTTTACTCGGTAATTTTTTTGCGTATCAAAATACTGATATTTTTTTAACGTCTATAAAGCATGTTGACTGCATAGCCGAGTGGTTAGTGTTGTGGACTGTCGACCCGTTAGTCGTGGGTTCGATTCCCACTTTTTAATTACTTTTTTTTTTAAATTAAAGATAACTTCTTATAAATATTATTTAATGAGATTAAATATCTACATCTATTTTTATATTTTTTTTACAGGAGCTGGATGATCTTCTGTCAAGTTTCGGTTTGTCACATCAGTCAAACACGTGTAATTCTGTAGCCATCCGAAATGAAAGTGAAAATGAAGTTATAGAGGCACCAGATATATCCATTGAGTCACGACTCGACATATATTTTACAGCTGGTCTTGTTTTGGATTCTGTTAATGCAGACAATCAAGGTAATGCTGACACTTACCAAAATAGTGAGGATCCGCAGAGTGGCATTGACAATCTGAAACACATTTATGACAGTGGCTGTAAATGTACTAAAACTGATTCAGTAATTTATCCTTTCCTCTGATCGAAGCAAATATTCTTAATCTAAGGGAAATGACAAAAATGAGAAGGAAATGCTAATAATGGGCACTCTTAAAAAGATAAGGTCTGACATAAGATGTAAAGAAGATCGCAAACGCTCCTGTTATGAATGTTTTTTGATGGAATAAAAGTGTGCCTTGAAATCTTTCTGGTGGTCTTTAATATAAAAGACAGGCAACTGAGAAATATCAGACGCAATATGGAAGAAAACGGTGTGCAGTCATACAGAATGCATAACCTCCAGACGTTATTAAAGATGCAGTTAAGTATATACTGAGTTACGCAAACGAGGAGGGATTGCCTCAGCCTGCAGCACTAAGGGGGAGGGATGATGAGGCCCCTATATATTTACCGTCGTCTGATGTAAAGCATTCAGTGCACAGTGATTACGTTTCACGCTGTACGGAAGTTGGGAAGTTGGTTTATCAACATTTAAAGATATATGGAATAATTGTGTCCCTCATATAAAAATAGCGTCGCCGAAAGAGGATGTGTGTAAAGCCTGTGAGGACTGTAAACAGGATATTAAGCTTGCCCAGAGTGAAACGACAAGATAGAGGCAACCTTGAAATACCATCAACATGTGCTGCAAGCTAGAAAAGAACGTGACCTATACGTGGAACATGTAGAAAAATCAAAATCAATGTTTGTAAACCGGGAACAACAAAACCAGGCTGCCGATGATAACTTTTCTACAAATGACGTACATTATACGTTTGACGTCAGTCAGTATGTTAAGTTGCCACACCATGCACAAGAAAAGGGACCCATATTTTTCATTCAGCCGAGAAAAGTGCAGGTAGGACTATCAATCTAAGTATGCTAATTATCTTTTTTTCATGTATACATTCTAAACTTTTTCGTTTCTTTAACAATTACTTTAAACGTGAAAATAACGTGTTAGTACCTTAGTTAATATAAATTTTCTTTCCGTTTTCAAAATCTATACTTTGAATAATTTTTCTATGCAGTAAATGTGTACATGCTGTATCTTTCAGATATTTGGTTTCCGAGCCGATGGCTACAAACAGTACAACTATCTCATAGATGAGGACCAAACAATTGGTAAATAAAACAGTTTTTCGGCATTTCTGTAAAATTATAATAGAAAATTAAATAAAAAAATTACTAAATAAATTATTATTCAGTATGTGCATGATAAGCATACTTTAAAGTTTTTTTTTTGTAACTGCAATGCATGCAGTATTTTTTTTCAGTAACATTTCAAGTAAAAACAGGATTGAATCTCATCGTGTCTTCTAAATTACAGCAAATTAGTTCAAATATCAAGTTTATGTAATTTTTTGTTTTGTTTTTAGGACAAGATGGCACACTTGTACATGGACCAGACTCGGTCATCTCAATGCTAGACCATGCCTTCCAACTCGTTCGGTACTGGAGAAAGTGATTGTGGGATTCACGCAGATAATTGTTTTGGTAGTTATTTTTCACATCTCAAGTATTCTTATTAGTTGTAACTGCCTCAGTTTGAACTGTGCCATAAAAATGCCGGTGTAAAATAGTTCCTTAAAACTAAACTTGTTTACTGTTTAATATTCTTTTTTTTCTAAAATGTACATGTATTGAGATTTAATAAGAAGTAGTAATGATTGAAAAATAATAGAGTTACTACAGGATATAACAATAACATAATGTAACTTTAGAGCTTTGCTTTTTTTAATTTAGCTTTATTTGATTTTCTCAATTCTTTAACATTATTGTATGTAATTAAATACATGAATTTAAATCTTTTCCCAGGTCAGAATAAGAATAGATACGTACTAGCCTACTTGTCATGGCGTACGATGATTGGATCACATAGAAATATCAAATACATGATGCAGTTACCAGGACATACAAGGTAGCTTTGATTTTTTAATTGTTCTATAAACGGTTAACAAGCAATTTCGCTAATTATTTAGAAAAGATATTATTTTCGCCGAAAAACATATACTATAGTAAGCCTAAATGAGACGAGAACTTGATTTTAAAACATGTTTTCTTAATCTCTAATAATATGAAAAAGAAGGAAATGTAAAGCACGAGTTCAGACTGTAAAATCATGTATATAATATAGAATTGACCGGAAAAGGTTTAATTACCGTAAAATATTTCTACGTCATAAGCTAATTGATGGTGTCAGTAAAACATGCGAATGAATGACAAATACACTGCTGATCAAATCTTTATCCTCATTAATATTAATAAGTCAATGGTAAAATTCTCAGGAAATTAAGCTTTACCTCACCAATCATATTTGTTTCGCATTTAACTTTATATATTCAGGTGCTTGATCGACGCGGGATTTGGAACGATAAAGAAGTTGTATCGGCGTTCAAATTGTGATACTCTCCAACACGTGACGGAAGTAGTACTGAAGTCAGCACACAGTAATGTTCCCGTTACTTATGGTGAATGGATGTGGAAAGGCTGGAAGGTGTTCCTCGCAGACAGATTCAAAAAAGTGCCGAACATCTCAAAATATCACCACTTCCGTTTCACGTCACTCGAACCCGGTATAGTTTACATGAAGGTAGCTGCAGATGATACTTATGAAATACGATTTGTAATTTGTAAGACGAACTATCTACAAATGGATAGAAATGACTTTCCATCTGTCATACATCCTGCAGGATTAAGCCGGGAACGTCAGACGTACTTGTACCGTCACGTCAGACCACTTGTGAGACGCCCGTTCCAAGATGTTCTTTGCCCAGTTCCCCCGTCAAGCGATGGGCAGTGATTAGTTATACAAATTTCTATACACTAGTTCCTAAAGTATCAAGTGACAAGGATATATTTAAGCTGGTGTATCTCATGATAAACTTACTATTCTGTGTACAGTGGTGGTTTTGAGTATTTACTGTTGTGCTTCTACGATCACAGCGTTTTCGTAGTAACTGATATTTGTGACCTATTATCATTAAAGTAACATTTAAATGTTTTATTTAATAATTACAGAAATAGATAATTTTTGATGAGTGTACGTAATTTTTTTACTAAATTTATTGAACGAGTTGAATAAAATCATATTAAGTGAACCTTATAGCAAAATATTGTTTTATTCAACGACTTCAATAAATTTAGTATTGAATCTACACGAAAATAATATATTTTTTATTTAATAAATAATGATATTTTATTTATTGCATATATAATATAAAAACTATTAACTGTTGAAAGTATCATTTGTCATTTTTCATTGACGCGCCTATAGTGTACGCTTACATTAGCGCGCTTTTACGCTATGTTTATATATAGCGCAAATGACGTCACGTCAAAATGTTATAACACTAGTTTAATATCGTTTTTTATTTATAAAATAGCTTATTTATACTCCTGTGCCGCGGTTTATGTGATAAATTCAATTATATTACGCCACACTGTCTCTTTACGTAAGTAAATAAATACATTTTCGACGTTTTGAAATGATGTTATCAACGTTGACGTTAGTGGCGTTACTTGACGTCGGCTTTTTCAAAGCCGTTACGTTTAAGCTTTTTCGTGCAAATGTGAGTCGAACAAAGTATAGAAAGTTATACATTACAAGAAAATTTAAAAAATGCACTAACGCATGATGGAAAAAGCCGAAAATATTTCCGTGATGGATGTCTCTACCAAGGCCATTTTTATGTGACAACAAATACAGGGTGGTATAACAAACTGGGCTAATTTCCTGATGCATGTCATTTTCAAACAGCAATTTTATTATTTTTAAAGTAAACATTGATGCACGTGGCATGCACGTGGCATATTCTAGGTTCTTTAAAATTGCTTTTAAGATCGGACATATTGATGGACGCTAAACATGTAACTTAATGTTTCCAAATCTCTAGAGGAGCATTCCCCAAATCACTGAAAATACATTTAAAATGTTTAGATCTTTATTTCAAAGTAATTTCAATATAATTATTTTTTTCTAAAACTGACCCTGTCCGTAAAGTATTTTAATATTTTTTCCAAAACAAGTATTTTATTCAAATATGAAATGTTTTATTATTTTTTAACAGAAAGTCAACTACATAATTAGTCAAGGATTTGTCCAAAGATTAACATCAAGGAAAACTTTCCTCGAAGTCAATTCAACCTCACTATTCCCAGACACCACACATAATATTATTAAATTAAACTAAATCACAATGAAATAAACGTCGGTGGAAATGTCAAACATTTAAAAAATAATGCAAAACAATAAATGAATGATCATGATTTATTTCTCTTTTATACTCATGTACCAAAATTGTGAACTAAGAAAAAAATGTATGCACATTGTTTTATTGAAAATACTACATAATTGAACTTTACCGTTGCTAGAAAGGTCATTTCATGCCAAATATGTGCATGGAAATGAATGTCTTAGAGACTTATTAAATTTATATCACGTTTTTCGGACGAAGTCACTCCGAGAATGCCATGGCATCCGGTAAAATTTAAAGGAAGAACTAAATAAGAAACATTTATTGCAGTGTTTCCTAAATTTGATCATTTAATGCTATGACAAAACTATGAAGTTACATATGCATGTAAAATGAGTTTTACTCCGTCCGAGTAACTTTTCTTACATCCACTTAAAGTGTTTTAAGAGCACAGTGTTTTCAGATACATCTGCAAATATTTACCGATTAAGTGACACGCGAGAGCATCTTAGAACTGTTATAGTTCGGAAGTTGTCTTTTCTCGTCATACATATTAAAAGACATGCATCAATTTAGCATTATTTATAACCACCATATTTTCAACTTAACATGCGTTTCTATATAGAAACTAAACTAGATATTAATCGTTAACCGAAGCCAAATACATTATAAAATCAATTAAAGCTTGATCGCTCATAAACAACAGATAATTAAAATTGTGAAACTGTCATATTGGATAAAAGACTCCCAATAGCGCCGAATCAGCTGAAACCATTGAAATATTGGATTAGCTATTAATTGCTTTGGTGAATGGAGTGGAGTCATTAATAAAAAGCCTTGCATCGATTTATGAAGAAGTATGAATTTGAAGTCAAGAACCTGCAACACAAGGTACTATACCGCATTCCCTGTGTCATATCTTGATTTAAATACAAAGTTAAAAACAAAGTTTACAAATGGAAATGAATATTATTCTGTTGCCTGGTAATGTATTTGCTATGAAAGAAGTTTGTTAAAAGAATATCAGGCAATAAAAATAAAATGTTAATGATAAATGTTTCTATTGCGTTTACTGTTTTTCAAATTATTTTTACCAACGATATGTTATGTTTGGCAATAAACTAGAATTTAAGATTTCCTTCATTTCACAACTCTTTTTATGTAAACAACTAAATGAATTCATAGTCGTGTAATATATTATATATGTTATGCGTTCCAATGTAGGGTTCTTGTCAGAAATATAAATAAAGAATTGTTGAGTTCTTTCTAAAAATTAAAACTAAAAGCGTGATTGTAAAAACTGGAAAGAATACGTTATCTTAGCCAATAATCTACTCACTTTTATTTACATATAAAATTTGAGTTACCGACAAGTAAATTAACAAATATTTGTGACTTTCTTTCATTAAACCCTGGATAAAACAAAAATCATGATGAATATATATTAAGTGTTTACGTTGAAAACATATCGACATACACGCTAGTAAATAACAAATAAAGATTGCTCATAATTGTATTAGAATCACCATACAACGAAACCAATTTATTTTAATTGAACAAAAAAAATTTGAAAAATATTTATCTAGTATTCTTAAGCACAATTTACAGCGAAATGAACAGATGTCAACAATCAGATTCAATGTAAACAACTTCACGCAATAATTTATATAGGATACAGACGGGTTGTTCAGAACATCATCTCTCATGTAAGAAAACATCTTGTACGACATTATGTCAAACTGACGTTAATTGGCTCCAAAAAGCAAAGTCCGATATATGTTTAAATTAACCTATAAAATAACAATTTGTGAATGAAAAATGACTTCCCCCGCTCTTGCGCTAGTGTGTTACCATGACTACGCATAAAACAACGGAATACATCTGAAAAATAATATTTTAATTTCCAACAGAATCAGTTTGATCTGAATTACGTTTGGTACAGACTCCATGCAAAAATCGTAAAGAATAAATATTTTATAGAGTAAGTCCGGTTATTTCTGGAATACCCCTCGTATTTTGCTCCAAATTTTCGAGAAAAAAGAGCCAGTGAATATATTAATTCAAAGAATCTAAATGAAGTATAATATGCTTGCTTACAGTATAAACAATTGACGATATTCGAAATCGTTTTTTTCCAGACATGCGGTTTCTATTGTATGCATGTACAATGATGTTATGCATGTTCTCAGATATATTGATATATTTTCCGTATTATTTAGTTATTGTTACTGCCACATCTGGAAGGATTCTACATCTTAAGTATATATTTATATAGCATTGTTGCACCGTATTCAGCTTACGACGCAAATATCGTCTGTTGAAAACGTTTTCAACTTACCGTGAGCTGTATTCGTTAGTAACTGTTGACAACGTATACATTTTACGTAAGCTTTATAAGTTCAATATATGCATCTGATTTTGAAAAGGTATTTTGTGTTAACGAATATCATTTACGCCTATTGTGAAAATTAAAATTATTATTGTCATTATCCTCTAGTTCATATTTGGTAGTCGTAGTCGAAGTCGTGGTTGTAGTTACCGGTGTAATTATGAAATTGTTGCCGTTGCTGATGTCGTGAAAATAATATTTTTGGTCGAAGTTGTCGTTATCTTGGGGGTCATAGCCGCACTTATAGTTTTACAATTCATAGTCGTAAAATGGATGTAGTCGCCGGTGAACTCACAGAAGTCTTACACGAAGACAAACAAATTCGTAGCCGTAGAATTTGTAGAAGTGTAATTCGTCGTTGTATTTATAGTTGCATTCGTAGTAATTAAAGTTACAAAAGTCGAAGTCGTGGTCGTAGTCAACGGCGTAGATGTAGGCGTAGTCGTAGCCAGGACAGAAAAGGTGAGGACGATCAGTAGCTTGGTCATTTTACAAAAATGAGCTATATACGGTGAAATGCAGAATTTTGAAGTACAGAGCTAACAGTAAAATGTATTCACTGTCAGCTGTATACGGTGTTACAATTAGCGTATACGGCTAACACGTCACTTTAAAGGGAGACACAGGCAAAATTTTCATTTCTTTGTTTTTGTATTTTTCATTCATTATTCTGTAAATGTCATAAAAACAAATACACTGGGTAGTCACAGGAACAAAACGTTTCTCCTTATAAAGAATAAAGAATAAAATGGTGGTTTCCTAACTTGACCCACGTGGGTCAGGTTAGAGCGTTACGTTTTCACAATAGTTGTCAAAGTGAACTCTGGCAACGTTAAAGATGTCAAATGAACGCCTTTGACTTGTTTCAATCATACAATATCCAAAATAGCTGTTATTGTAACTTCCACGGTTTGTTCAAGTCACATGACTTGTTTTAAAACTACTCGGTCATTCAGTCGGTGTATAAATTTCGTTCAACATAAATAGATATATTTACACTTAAAACCAAAAATATATAGAATATCTACAGAAATTCAAGCTCGGACTTTGAAAAAATGTCACTTTTAGCGTGATTTGAGTACATAAGATCATTTTAATATTTTGTCATTAATTTGCCTGATTTGCCTGAGCATCCCTTTAGAAATCGTAGGCTATATACGTTGAAACAATGCATTATATGACCTATTGTTAATTATTTATTTTCGGCATGGTGACAATATCATATTATTCAGAACTTAAAGCTGATCCTTTTCTAATCATGAAATAATATAAAAAGTTTTATCAATTATAAAATACCTTGAAACGAGGCGTTATACGGTTGAATTGAAAATTGATCTGATTGAAGGACTATGGCTGTTAACAGAGAGACATACATATAA